CATTTGTTAAATATAGTGAATAGAAATAATGTACATACTGTATGTGTAAAATAAAATACTTCTTGAGAAGAAATATAGAGTAACAGGGGATTTATTATAGTCTGATATTTCACGATATAATAGATAGGATTTGATGATTTTTATACCATTAGATTTGTCTTGATGAGACGAATCGAATGGTATAAAAATTATCGAATCCTTTTCTGTTAGATCGTGAGATATCTTTGGTTTAGTAAAATAAAAGGTTTAAAACTTATAATTATTTTATTGGCTAATCATCACGTGCAAGCATATAGCCAATTACAATAAGTTGCTTAATTTCATGTGATCGACCGATTTCGTAAGTTTATTGGTAGATTGACCGATTTCAAATTTGGAAAGTTCGTGTTACGATGATTGTCCACTTTACTTAATTTATGTTCGTTTATAATCTATTTCGTAACATTTCGGATAATTGTTTTTCCAATTTTTTGGTCGACTAATAAAATTTATTCGAATAATCGAATAAGACTTAGTCGATCCTATAACTAGATCAAATGATTACCATTCTTACATGAACCTTTGAGTTGATTACTAACAATGATCTACAAATTTAGTACGAAATGATAGTGCAGGAAGAAGTATCGATAAGGTTACCTGTCTCGCAAAACGATCATGGTCATGCTAATTATAAAGAGAGAAAGTCAGATAAAAAGTTGAGAAAAATAAACTCAGAATAGAAAATATCACCAAATTAAACCATAATAGAGTAAATACGATAAACATACTGTAGTTAGTTTATTATTGATTATTTGATTAAAATCATTTTGCGAAAAAAAGAATTTTCGCAAAATTGGAAGATATTACCAATCAAACAGAGATTTATGTTAAAATTTTTTTTGCAAACTTGAATTGATCTTAATGCGTTAGCGTTATTTATCACCTTCAAAAATAAATGCATGTCCAAAAATAAATTAACCTATTTATTAAACAATATATATATATATCATGTCCCCTAAGTACAAGTGTCCATAACTCAAAAATGACTATCCAGCAAAGTATTATTAAAATTATTGCTACTACTGACTATTTTCAATTATTCATCTTCATCACCGTTATCTATATATTTAACTTTTATTACAAACATTTTACTCGTCCCAATCCACTTCCTGGTCCATTACCTTTACCAATCATTGGAAACTATCATAGTCTTGGCAGTGATGTAAGAGAATTCTATATACAATGTCTACCAAAATATGGGGATATTAGTGAAGCGATGCTTGGTCATAGATACATTGTTCTTTCGCGTCCAGAATATATTGATAAAATTCTTGATCGTAAAGCATTTCACGCGAAGCTTCCATATTCGCCAGGTATGGATGAAATGGGAATGTACGGACATGGAATCGTTTTCAATAATGATTATGAAAGTTGGAAATCTAATAGAAAGTTCTTTACGGATACATTTGTACCACGGGAATATATGGACAACGTCGTAAAGTCTACAATTAAGCTGTTTGAAGAATTGAGCAGTTATTGGCAGTCACTTGGAAATCAAAATACTTCAAATCATAATTGCGATACTTGGACACTAGAAACAGATTTTTCTAAATGGTTCCACAGATTTACAAATGATATTATTTCAATATTAATCACTGGAGAACATACGTATTCAATTGCTTCCTATTA